AAAGAGCGCAGAAGGTAATCAGGAGCTCGTGGCGAGAGATTCAGCTCAAGCTGGTGGGGATGGTGCTGTGCTTGGGCTGCTCGAGTGCGGCGATGACGTGGCGGTATAGCCGGCGGGGGACACATGGCTGCAACTTGAGGCAGACCATGGCCACACATCAGTTTGTACAGTAGGCAGAGAGCAGAGACCTTTCGCCGAACAAGGAGGCTGGGAAGAATCGTACCAGGGCCAATGACATTTAGGGCGCGGAGCTGGACAGCATCCAGCATGGCCAGGTGTGAGGGGGCTGATCCCATCCACGCAAGGGGGGCATATTCCAGCATTGGCCGGACGAATCCTTTGTAAACAGTCACCCTGCCCGCGTGGCTGAGGAGGGGTGCTGCCTTCCGCAGGAGGCCCAGCCGCTGCTTAGCACGTGATGCCACTTGCCGAAGGTGGAGTCTGTAGCTCAGTTTAGAATCAAACGTCACTCCGAGCACCTTCACAGATTCATCTGGTGGGAGAGGAGTTCCGCCAAATGACAGCTGGGGAGGCACTGTATCCTTCCGCTGGTGCGACAGAGTGATAGTTTGCGATTTTGATGGCTCAAACGCAATCTTCCATCTCTTGCCCCAGGCATGAAGCTCATCTAGGCTGCGTTGTAGTGAGGCATTCGAGGCTTGGTCAAGGAGGGAGTACAAAGTTGTATCATCAGCAAAAGTGTTCAGGTTTGTGCCATGCGACAAGCAGCTTGAAATGTCGTTTACGTACACGAGGAACAATGTAGGTCCAAGGATACTACCTTGTGGGACGCCAGACTGGACAGGGTGCACCGATGAGCTCTGGCCATGAACAACAGCTTTAATGGTGCGACATTGCAGGTAGTGGGTAAGCCATGCGAGCAGTGAACCCCCTATCCCCAGCTGGCGGGCCTTGTAAAGTACGCCAGCATGAGACACTTTGTCAAAAGCCCCCGCTATGTCCACGGCAACTGCTTGCATAGCTCCACCTTCTGCCATGGCATTGGCCCACTCATACTGTAGGACAGTCAGGAGGTCTGCAGCTCCGGTGCCACGACGAAAACCGTATTGACGAGTATTCAGCAGACGGTGGCGTTCCAAGAAGTTGACAAGCTGGGAGTTGGCCATACTCTCCATTACTTTCGACAGGATGCTGAGGAGAGACACAGGTCGATAATTCTAAACAATTGACTTGGAGGACTTCTTGTGTATGGGGGACATACACACACACACATATACACACACACACACACACACACACACTGCATACACACGTACACACACACATGCATGGTAAATCCATTATTTTGTACTTCATAGCATTTTTGGATTTATAACGTCCAATGCATATGCACACTGTGCGCAATTAATTCCTCTGTGAGGAGAATTTTAAATTTACCTTTTATTAACATCATGATCAGTGTACATCATGACTTGCTTTGAACTCATTGCAGCCAAAGCTGATCATTGCTCTCAGGTATTCATGAGCGTGTATTCCTCATTGTGAAGGGTGTATGCAAACCTCTCTGCCCCACACCTACCTTGCATGTGACAATGCATCAGACCGCATGTGCAGATTTTTTATTTCATTGGGGAGTGGGGGAATCATAAGGCCGGTATGGTTTCTTCACTCCATTTTCAAGTAACAGCTTCCATTAACAAGCTCAGCCTTCTTTCCTAGGGGCGGCCAGTCGAGGACCCATTCTGGGGATATCACGTGCCGAGAGTATGCAGTCTATCTGGATTTAAAAACTGACCTTTACATTCCGGTGGACTTGCCGTCCAGACGCCTGAGAACTGAGTGCAGCGCGGTTGTGGATCATCCCCAGCGCCCTGGTTTCCCTGGTCTCCACAAGCTGCAGTACACGTTGCCGTTCTCGGCACATTATTAGCAACTTCATATCCTGGTTTACAGGAGAACGTGACCTGTGCACCAAATGCAGTACCTTCACCTGTATACTGCACTACCACCTGACCAGACTCCTCAAAGGGAGTGCAACGGACCGCTGGGCAAGTAGAGGGAAAAGAGAATTATGCCAAAAGAAAAGGGAAATATATGTTATGCAGGCGGCGAGTGAAAAAGTTCCAAAACCAAGACAATGAAATTTGCTCTATAAGTGCAAGACTCATGCCTAACACAATGTGAAGAGTTGTCAACTTGTTGTGTAAACAGGAGAATACTGTAAATATACAAAATTTCGGCGCTGCAAAATTTCGGCACTTCACGATTTTTGACATTTCGGCGGCGATTTATTTTCGGCGTGGGGTAGAGGGCATGGTATAGTGCGACAGATGCTGTGAAAAATTTCATCGGCGTTTTAATTTAGGCGTTTTGGGTCGGTGCCGAATATAGCCGAAATTAAATAGCTGCCGAAAATTTGTATATTTACAGTAGCAGGAAGGAATAGGACACCGAATTTCATTAGCAAACTCAAGCCAACTGATGATGGCTGAATTCCCCGAAATACTATGTATTGAGTTTAGAAGGATGGTGTTTTCTTGCACATTTGAGAGTGGAGGGTTCACATGCTTTTCTAAAAGCTTCAAACGACAATCATGAGGCTGTCAATTGTCAACAGGGTACAACGCTAGAAGCAGCTACCCTTCTTCAAATGTAACTGCCCAAGTCACACAAGCCTACTTCCTCTAATCAGTCCTGAATTAGTGTGATCTCAATGAAGCGCCAGTGGCTGGCGGCAACATTGGGGAGCTAGGTCTGATTCCTAGCTTGGAAGCCGGGGTGAGCATTCTGAGGTTGTGATGACAATCAGCAGTTATATGCAGGGTTACACAACCTCCACGGCAAGGTGCAGAAGTGGGCAGGAAAGATGCATGTCCAGGCACAAGCAATAGTGCTTTGTCCGAGCATCGCACTTCTCTTGCAATGCAGTGCTGACGTTACTCTGACACTGGAACTGTGAAGGATTCCACATTGAAATCAGACCAGAAACCCCTGGTTGCGTGCATTCTGCTCAGTTACTGGACTTAAGTATAACAGTTACGGTTCGCTATACGCGGCAAGCCTACAATTCGGTCCAAAATCCCACTGTGTGCATACAAAGATGGCCAAGAGGTGGAGAGGGTCACTTACGCTCACAGCGCATGGAACTCAATGCAGGACTCCAGACCTGATTGGCGGCGCATTTGAATGATGTAACGCCTATAGCATAGTATCCTCTCTTGCATCCCATTTCGATTGTATTGGGATATGCATGAAGCTGTCCACTAACCCAGACATTTGGCGACATAAGAGGATTCGGACATGGCACACCTGATGTGAAAGATTAGGAACATGCAATCACAATCTCATAATAGTGCAGCCCTACACACGCATCACGAAACTCAGCACATGTGCAAAGGAAGCAACACCATGGTCGAGCATGGAAGTATTTCCCGCTAAGAATGGAGATGTGAGATCAGCAGTGAGTGATATAGCACACATTGAATACCAGTTAGATATCGCTGTGACTGCCACACTAGTGCTAAATCCAGCATTGTATAAAAAAAATCAAATTCAGGCCACATGGAACAAAAATAAGTCGTCCCTTGCAATGCGTGTAGGGCTGCTCAATGCTCACACGGGACCTACAAAGTATTGCCGCTCACAAACAATCCCATCATGTGTTAGGCACATGATGGGATCGTTCCCTGCCATACGTTGACTTGTGACTATTGCCGCTCACAAACAATCCCATCATGTGTTAGGCACATGATGGGATCGTTCCCTGCCATACGTTGACTTGTGATCATTTGGTCACGAAGTATGCACGAGCAGCAGGCCGGACCACATTATACATGGACTTCCCAACCGCCCACCAATACACATAGACTTACACAAACATAGGTGATAAAGGGCGGGCTGGACCCAGGGAAAGTCAGATCTACTGCATCCCTTTGTCAAAGTCACACGCCTGAATGTGGTAACGCTATGATAATTATTGATTCGTTGTTTCTGGCCACCCCACCGACTGTTTTATTTTTATTTTTAGAAAGTGATTGCAGAAATAGGTACAACAAAGGGTAGAATCAGTCTTATCAAGCCTTTTTGCTTGATAACACATGCGTTGATGGAGCCAACTCAAAATTCCTATGTACCTGAGATGTGGGGCACGAGGCACCCTGATTTTCGTGGGTAATCTGAAGAACAAATTCTGGGGTAAGCCATTTTATGATTTTACCTTGGCATGCATGCATGCATGTCTGGCCACACTTAGAAAGAAAACGAATCTGACTGACCTACTCTATTGCAGATGAGCGAAGTGACCAACCCTTTTTTTCTGGTTGCCATAGAGTGCAAATCTCTGCAGTATGTAATGCATTGCATCATGCATTACGCTGTGGATTTATGGAATCGGACAAGACGTAATCAGTTGCCAAACAGTAGTTTGTTGCATAATAGAACGGCTGTTCCATGGAATGGTTCTGTATGCTCCGTGGATCTGCGTAGTGGTTGGATGCTTGCCTATGTGAATTATACAGGGAAGATATGCACACCCGGAACATACTTACCGTCACAGCGTGGTAACTGGCCACTCCATTCTCCGTTTGCTTGACATTTTCGTACAGCAAGCAAGCCAGGTGCTAAGTGATAGCCACTGTTACATGTATACCTGATCACCTTCTGGTAGTCTTGTTCACCAGCTACTGGAGAGTCATCAAGAGTACTCACTGTGCCATGTGCGATATCAACTGGTGCCGGGCATTTCAAGACTGCAAAGAAATGAAGAGAAGAATCACATTCGTATTCAGGGTTCTAGCCAGGTCAAAATAGTAGGGTGGCGGGTAGGGGAACAGTTACCGCGTAACCCTTTTTCCATTTTCCAAAATGATTATCTCGCCATGCGAAATGCAATGTACGGGGAAAACCCCTGACTTTAATCCAAACAGATGTGCCTTTATGACCCCTCTACAGTCCATTCATAAAAAGATGAGCGCTGGCTCCGGCGAGCTCCCGTGTTTGGCGATTTTTCGTAGTTTCATCGTACACAGTGCAGAGCCGCGAAATTTGAGGTTAGAAAAAGGGTCCAAAAAGGTACCTCAACTGGGGTTCGAACCGGACAATGCAGTGATGCATGTGGAGTGAAACGGATTGGATTTTCATGGCCTTTCCCAATTCAGTGCTTACAAGACAAAACCTGGCCAAAATTCTATTCTTGTTAATAAGTTGTTATGGCTTGCTTTTCGGAGAAATGGACTTCAGAAATATAATTGGAAGACCATTCCAAGGGGGATTGCAGAAAACAATTGTGAAGAAACTCAAAATTTGATGTATTTATGGCCAAAAGCTAGGATATCATCTTTTTCTGAATGGACCGTAGTAGTGACTATCGACTGCGTTTTCGTTGAATGGCATGAAAAACCGCAGAAATCGACAAATGTGTAGAGGGTGCCACTGTTTCACCAGGGGTCAAAACCAGAATAGGAGAGTGCTGCATCTCTTACCCTCCTTTGGCTAGGACCCAGGTACAGGTGGAATCCTGATAATTCGAATATGGCTTTATTCGAACATACCGCTTAATTAGAAGTTTTTCCAGGACCAATTTCTATCAATACGATTCCCACATAAAAAAATCTGATAATTAGAACCTCGAACTGGATATGTCCGGTTAATTAGAAGTCCCACAGATTCCACTTACATGTACATAGAAAGTCTGTGGGATTTGTGCGGATAATTCGAAGTTAGCAAAGTGTGATTCGAAGTTCACTGTACATTGTACTGGTCAGTTCAGTTTGCATGAGCAGGCTGTGCCGGTCAGTTCAGTATCTGCGTGACCATGAGAGCATTTTGACATACATATTGTGTTGTGGGTTCATGTTTGGATAATTAGAATGTTCGGATAATAAGACGTTTTTCCTGGCATTTTGAGGTTAGAATTATCAGGATTCAACCTGTATTGCCATTGACTCCAGAAGCATGGCAGAGTTATACCTGGTTGGTACAATTACGAGCTTGTCCTTCACTGCCCTTGGCATACACTATTTTCAGCATTGTTAAAATAATACTTCTACCACGGTCTCTTACTGTCCTGCAATCTGATTATTCAGTTCCACTTGGTTCCAAAGTTCTGCTATTCTGCATTTGTGCTCTGCATCTACCTTAGTATTGTTTTGTGTGTATTGGATCATTTCATCATTACTAAACCTATTCTTACTCCATATGCACAGGGAGGCACAGTGGGTTGGTTCAAGACCATGATTGAATTACGGGAGATACCAGATTCAAGCCAGTCCGGCTTGGAAGCAGAGCTAGCCAAACACTGTGTGCGCAGTACATGGTGTAAAAAATAAACACCAACGCTGCAAAAGTTTATTCGAATTTTTTAAAATTATTCACTAGTCGAGAAATGAAATTTTTTTAACAATAGATTTGATTATTTTCCGTACGAAAGCAGAACTGAACCTGTTCATCACTGGGCACAGTGTTTTGTCTAAGTCAACATACATGTAGCCAAATCATAATGGTTTATGCATACACCTAAACTACTAAATCTTAGTGATGTGACGAATAATCGATAATTCGAATTTCCTCGATCTTTTGGACCTCAACCAATAATCGATCGGAAAAAATCTAGGTCGAAGGTTCGAAAATTCGAATATTCGCGGGCGGGCGAAGTCCGTGTGCTGCATACCGTGCGCGCGAGTCTAGATCTCTCAACTTGAATACATACATTTTGTACTGCGTTGCAGACAACAACTAGACCCTGGTACACTCTACTCTGACATGAGTCTGAACGCTTGTGTTGTGTGTTTGCTACATGATTGTACACTTTTTGTGGAATAGTAGAATAATCGTTCATTCGATTGAGTGGTATTCGCTAGATCACTCGTTCTTAAAATTCATGGTTCGTTACATCACTACTAAATCTCACCATCACAAACTGGCTGTGTTCCTGACCAAGAAGCAGTGGAGCATATGAAGTGATCTCTCACAAAGTTGAAAGACTGGCAGATTGGCTCACACGTCTGCTCAGCTTTGCCAACAAGTTTGTATCCAGTATCACATGTGAATGTAGCCTTGGAGCCAAACACTTGGCTGTTGACCTGGACTTTGAGTGGCAAATCGACTTGGAACATGGCACACGTCGTAGCTGCAGCACAAGCCAATCCAAATACACATTAGCATCCCCCACCTCGCAACAGAGCAACAATGCGTCGGATCAAGCTCGGAGTGCCGATATGAGCAACTGGTCATGGAAACGATGCAAGCGTATGGTGACCCCGCTTGGAGCCGTTAGATGGCTCGAAGCCAAGCCGCCAAATTACTCCACATGGAGCCGCCATACGACTCCGCTTGGAGCCACGAAATGATTCTGAGTGGAGCCGCCAAATTCTTAACAACGTTATGTTTAGAATTTGGCGGAAAATAGAAAAACAGAAAGAACGAGAGGGAATGCTTATAACGTTTCTCTGGTGCTTGCTTGGCATTAAATTTTGCTTCTACTTCACCTTTTAACACTTACCCAAACATTGAATTGGTGTATTTGCATCACTCCACAAGCCACTGCTTAAGCATTCACTATAGGACAGACCTTGACGTGCGTAACCATGGTCACAAGCAATGTGGATAGTGTATGGATGCTGGTATTTAGGCTGAGGTTGAAGCAAAAAACCATGTTCCGGAGCAGTGTATTCAGAGCATAAAACTCCTGAAAAGAGTACAAAAAAGCAACACAAATAGAAATTGAATAACATGACAAGAAAATTTTGGTAACAGTAACTTTCATAGGATAACATGAATGAAGCGAACAGGATCTGAGCATTCTCGAGTATGAGTCTGGTTGGCTGAAGAAGTGTTTCCATGAGATAAGCGGCTGGCAAAGCCGTCGAGTTGTGCAGAGCAGACCAGCTGTGCACTTACAGATTCACGGTAGCCTTTCGAAAAATCCCACTGAGCAGGCACATTGCACATCATGTAGAAATGATCTGACCAGTACAGCACACATGAATGCTATTGACAGCTAGGCACGCTGTTTCAAATGTTTGATGCCTCCACCACAAGCAACAGATGACAATGTTGAGTGAAAAGTCATCCAGCCAAAGCCTGATCATCCACACCGGCTTCAGTACCCCTTATGTGCTGCTAGCAGAGCATTTTTAAAAAGGACACCCCTCCCCTCATAATTGATCGATATGTTAGGGACTTCCTCCCACACAATCTACAACCTTTCCCAAGCTGGCCTGGAAGCACCCCATACTTACTCTCACTCGATCTCTCTCTTCCATAATGTAGTCCTTTAGTTCGTCTGTCTCTCTGTCTCTAATAAATGTCTTTCTACCTAACCGTGCCCAAGGATTGAAACGAACAGAATCAGCTGAAGCGCAATTTTTACGAAGGTTTTATTGAGATGTCACGAACAAATTCTAAGTACAGGACGTATATGTGCATGTAGTAACAGTCTTACCCTCGCACGCTGGCTGTTGACCGGACCAATGTCCATTGGCTTGGCAAACTCTAGTAAGAACCTTGGTACCATCTGAAAACTCATAGCCATCGTTACAGCTGTAGATAACAGTGCTGTGCAAGGGAAGTGGGCCTTCTGGATACGCTGCATCCACGGATAAATCTCCATTCAGTATATCCTTTACATCGGGACATGTCACAGCTGGAATTAAAGCAGAGAGAAACAAGTTAGTTTTTCTCAGTCAAAGAGTTATGATGAAAAGAGACAAATAGCATCACAAGATGGGTGGCTGTCCCTCCCATCTATCTCAAACCTCTACATCCTTATTCTCAGCCCAAACTACGGACTATAACACTGTTGATAGCAACATCGGGGGAATTACGTGGGTCCCTCGCATTTCATGAACAAGTTAGACAATGAAACTGATGATGCTACATGTATCTCAACACACGCTTGCCACAGGGATACAGCCTGCAACAGGGATACAGCCCCCACCCCGCACACGCACAAACACACACACACACACACACACACACACACACACACACACACACAAACACAAACACACACACACACACACACACACACCTTGACCTTGATCTTGATCTTGCCCATTGCGGGCGGAATGATAGCGAATGTCGGAAAGTTCAAGTGAGAACACGAGCGCAGAATTTGGCATGTCGTTTCAGGTCTCCTGGTCGACGAAACTGGCGTCCACAGACACAGAGAAGACGATCAGGAGCGGGCCGTGGCGGTGGAGTGCTACTTGCAACTCGTCTCCAGCCGGGACGATCTTGGCAACTGTCAAGCCAGGTGGTTACACCGAGGTCCGCCATGTCAGTCGATTCCACATCTCGCTACCTCTTCTTTGGGCCACGACGGAGGACGGGGGGGGGGGGGGGGAGGAGGCAGGCAGGCAGGCAGTTCGCCAAACAGCAATTGTTTCGGTGCGCGTGAGTCGTCCATCCTGCCGACATGACCTAGCCAACGATAGACAGTGGCGACGGATGGTGCTGGTGATGTCAGGGTCAACACCGAGTGTAGCCGCTAATGTGGCCGTTGTGATCCGATCATCCCACTGTTGACGACGGCCAATGCCCACAATGTACCAGACACACACACACACACACACACACACACACACACACACACACACACACACACACACACACACACACACCTCAAACCTCAGACCTGCCCATCGCGGAAGCGATGATAGCGAACAGCTATGTTAGACATAGCAACTTGTGCTGGGATTACGCCATTCAACAGCTTGCAAGGCTGATGAATTGACTGCCACTAATTTCTAGCCTGGTATCACACCACACAGCTGATTGAAGTCACATGAGTGGCTTTTTCTGGCCAGTGAATCCCTATTTTTCATTTTTCATTTTTTCATTTTTTCTTTTTCGACACACACACACACCACACCACATACTCCGGCATACACTGGCTGTTGGTAACCACCCAGGAGAATGAAAGAAGAGCCAGGAGAATGAGAAAGAGAAGAAGGACATGTGTGACCATAATCGTCGGGAATTGAACCCGCAACCTCTCGATTGGAAATCGACTGCACATACCACTGCACCATATGGGACACACACACACACACACACACACACACACACACACACACACACACACACACACACACACACACATGGACACGCACACACACCCACACACACACACACACACACATGGACACAAACACATGGACATGCACACATGGACACGCACAAATGGCATTTTTTTAATCTTACGTTCACACGACATCACTGTGTCAGGAATCCACTCTCCATTTATACATTTCTTGACGTGCAAGTTATCGGTCTCATTGGTCGCCACCTTGTAACCATGGTTGCATACATATTCAACTCGGTCACTAGCTACATAGTGGTACGCACCATCAGCTAGGTCACTTGGCTTAGCACATTCTCCTATCGCTTGAGCTGGCAATATATTGTAAAGACAAAGGAACATACTCATGGGTACACAATGAATGATTCATCATTGTACCGGTTCAAACCTGGCGCAGTCTTTAAAGAATGGTGTTTCCCATAGTTCATATAGAACCGTGTCTACAAAGCGGAAGCTTGACACTCCTTCAAGCTGGAACAAGTTTTCATGAAAGGTGATATCTCCAGAAGCAAGGAAGAGAGCCGAACTTGCGTAGCAGGCACGCTCGGCAAAGACAAGTCCCAGTTTAGATAAGTGTACACACAAGCACGTTCATTTCTCTCACATGTAGACTTGATACGCTTCTCGAACCTCCTCTCACAAAATGACAACAGCCAACAAGTACGCTTGATAATTAAATGTTGCAAGAACTGAAATTGGATTAGAAAGAAATGGTTGCTCCCTTTTCGCTGCTTGGATCACGACTGCACCATAGCTTAGTGGCAGAGCATCGCTGTCAATAAGCGACGGTACCTTGTTCGAGACCTGGTGGTGATAGTCAATTTTCTTCTACCGACTTTTCCCGTTTTCAACTCTCTCAGCCTAATGAAAACTTTAGATTCATTCTTAATATTCATAGGTTGAGGAAAAATTATTCTAAATACTTGTTATTTGGTTACATTGAATGTCCACCTCACTGATCCTATATTTCCTTTGTCTAGTAAAGCTCTTGCACAAAGCTTACACCTTTTACTAACTAATGTAAACTTAGTGAAGAAAGTGTCTGCTCCGAAAGTCGGAGTTGCGAATAGCGCTTTCTGCCGACTGACTTGACACTTGACTGACTCACGACTGCGTCTGGAGCACATGGGAAGTCCGTCGAACCTTCCACACTAATGCAAAATTAACAACTCATACTTTCTTGTCTGCGTCGACAAATGTTGGCTGTCAAACTGTTCCCAAAAGAAGTCCACTCCATTATGATGATGAGTTCGGATGATCATTCACATGGTGAAATTGAAAATCCGAATTTGGCACGAGAACGAATGGTTATTTTAAAGCTTTGCAGCATTTGCTTGAAAACCGTACTGCACAGCCAATGATATTAGTCAGACTTCACATAATCATTAGTGTACATTGGTGAATTGATCTCAGAGTACATGTGTATACTGTTCAGGCAGGGGTGAATCCAGACATGGAGATCAAACAAGATGAAACTGATTCTGTCACATCTTACCATGTATGGGTGAGCACAACTGGACAATTTCTCGACGACAGGCATTTAACGATACTGATTTGTTCAGCTCATCCATGCATCTCCGGTGTGTCAGAGAATACGTGACATCGCCGTCTATATCTGTACAAGTTTTTTCTGGTACTTCTGCCAATGTCACCCCTGTACAGAAGCAGAGGCATGCTCATAATGATGAGTGGTGGTCGTTACTCACACGGGTGACTAATATGCAGCTAAGATACATTTGAAGATAAACATGCACATCTTTAACTGGCACCCGATCTGTTTGATTTATTCTCCTTACAATCAAGTTGACATATTTGACTATACACGTGGTGTGGGTAATTGTACCCATCTATGGTGTTCAGAAGAATCCGAGAAACCCACACACCTCTTGGCATAGAGCATGCAGTACATGATAGGGCTACTATGACTGGCAAATTCCTACATCTCCTTTCACATCCCTATTTGTGCATTAAGATAGTGTGTTCAGTAAGATAATGAACAACAAAGATGAAGGTGGGACGAAGTCACTGTCATTTTTTCTTCTATAAATACCAGGGAGTAGTACAATACCGGGAGGTGACACGAGCACACATGCAGGCGGGCGAGCTTTGCCTCAGGTCACTTTTCTGTGGAGCGCTGTGTCCCGGGAAACGTCACGAAATGTCGTACTTTGCGTATCTTTATCGTAGCATTTCGTAGCATTTTTCAAAAATTTTCATAGAACCACTTCAAGAGAGTGCCAGAAATTGGCAGAATGCTGTCAAAAAGTTTTCGAGCAGTACTTTTTGAAGTTTGTTTTGACGATGTAGGGAAGGAATCCATCAGTCTTTGCTGAGTGATGAGGATGAATCCTACGAAGGATATCAAGTAGCAGCTGGCCTTCGCACGGATACCTTCAGTGTGTCCAGTATTTACGTGGGCGGCTTGTAAGAGTGAATTTTTCTCCCTAATTTTATTTGTATTACTTTTAGTTATTCACGTCGTTTCTAGGGGAATAGATAATGTTGACGCAAGTTTTAGTCACAATGAACGACATGTTTCAGGTATGGTTGACCCGTATGGCTGACCCGTCTCAAGATAGTAAGGCTATTCCGAATCCAGATGCTATAGTCGTCTGAGGCCTCATTTACACGACAACGATTGAAAAACGTTTTTCAATCGTTTTCGAAACGTTTTTGCTGTTTACACGAAAACGATAATCGTGTACACTGGAACACTTTTTTCGGCGCGCACTGGTCACGTGCAAAAAGTTGGCCTGGCGCAGGCTGGCGGCGGCATGTTTTTGAGTACAAGGCTCGTACTAGAAAAACGTTTTTGCCGTTTACACGAGAACGAAACGGAACGAAAACGATTGAAAAACACTTTGAGGCCGTTTTTCGTTTGAAACGTTTTGAAACGTTTTTCAGCGTTGTCGTGTAAACGCTCTTATCAAAATCTGTGGAAGCGTATTCTTTTGAAAACGTTTTTGACAAAAACGTTTTTCAATCGTTGTCGTGTAAACGAGGCCTGAGTGAAACACAAAATAAAATAAATTTTATACTGCTGAGACAGCTTGCTATTCGCAAATGTAACTATGACGCATGTCTGTGTCAAGCAAGGAGTAGCACAATGGTACAATGGTATTGTGCTACTCCCTGATACAAAGCCTGAGATGTTACGCGTTAACAGGAACTGGTGTTGATGATAAAGGCAGTGTGGAATTATGTACATTGTTACTGGTGCAAGTGACCATGCCGTGTAAGTCATGTATGCAGGTAATCAGACCAAGCGTAAAAGGATAAAGATAGCCTGCTTATGTACTACTAGTACGTGTGCTTATTATAGATACTTTGTGTGACTACTAGTTGTATGTGTCTGCATATTACTAAACGTAATAGTACGTAATTGCTTTTACTACAATTTGGTACTTTTGTGGCGAGCTGCGTGACGATGAAATATGGCCACCAAGAGCGTACGCAATCAGAATCGTACAATATCATTACGTAGAGGATATAACCCGAGTCAGCGGGTTATACCAGCTGAATATAAATCCCGACTGCGATAGCAGGAGGGATTTATAATTATGAGGGTACGGTATAACCCGACTAGTAGGGTCATATCCTGCTTATGCCAGGTACCCCTACGCATTTGCAGAACAACAAACCTATTTGGAGATCTCGTACATCATGCAGTACACGAACATCTTCTGATGGTTATCAGTTGTCAATTGAAAGAATGGTCGAGCAATATCAGAAGGAGATTCCTCCGTGGATGTTTGGCATAAGATTTCCTTTCAGTTCCAGTGCATATTGTAGCATCTTCATGATCTTGTCTCGTGAGCGGTGCGGAAATCAACTGAATTGCTGGGGTGCTGGAGTTTGTCGTTGAATCAAACTACCGTCACTAGTTAGATTACAGCTTGGACTCTTTGGGAGTAAGTGTTACTATAATTATGGTACAGTGCTGATTTTAACATGCGGCATCTTATAATCAGTTTTGCTTACTACTTGCAAGTAGATGCATTTGCATACACTGTTTTGTATCACTGTATCACATTTCAATCCAATCTAGCATTTTCCTATCGGGTTGAAGTACACTCTGTATTATAAACTTAGTTACGAAGGAGACAGTCTGTTGATGATCTTCAACTCTTTGAAGTACAATATACATTGCTGAGCCATTTGGGATACTTCGTGGTTATTCGACGTTCTTTATCCTCAGATTCAGTATAATAGAATACTCTGTAGACGAATTCCAGGTCATTCTTCTTTTCCATTGTGTACTGTTCCTCGTCAGTGTGCCGTTCTGTGTGGAGTGTACACGTGCATGTGGTGTCTGTTGTGAATGGTCCGTGCGCTGGAGTACTGCCGCCGTACAAGTTCACTGCCTTTCAGACAGTGAACTTGTACGGCGGCAGTGCCCTAACGTAAGTACCGTGCACCGGGATTTATATTGGCCAGTATAAATCCCGCGTGGGATTTATACTGGCCAATATAACCATGGCTAGATGAGCGCTGATTGGCTGAAAACAGGCCCTCCGTACCGTACCATGGTATAATCCATGATTATAACCAATGTTACTTTTATGGCACTGTGGAATCGTGTACAGCGTACAATGCCACAAGTCATCCCTGTGCCATTCATGTTATGCAAATAATCACCAGGGAGTAGTACAAAAGGTGATGATGTCAAACACAAAAGGATAAAGACGAATAGTTTTATGTATGCGCACGTGCGCGCGCGTGTGTGGTGTACAAGGTCAAGAGGGTGTGTGTGTGGGTGTAATTGCAATTGGCGCTGGGCAGGCAGACTTCGCAGCCACACCCAAGTCGTCGCTCTTCCTCTTCTGTCCACGAGTTCTGGGAGTTAAAAAAGCAACAAAGCAACCCAGCCCTGGCCTCATTCAGTGCTGAAAACAAGTGATCTTGAACATTTATTATGTTCAAGTCTATACAAATAAATAAGTTTCGAAATTTTCGGAATGAGTTTTCCAAAGTGTTACAGTAGCTAACACGATGAGATGAAGTAGAATGGTAGACAAATAGGTATAGTTTCGAAATATCCCAACTTGGTGAGGTGTCCGAGTGGGTCCAAATGAGAAATTCAGGTTCGTGTTACACCATGTCAAGATGAGAAAATTCCATCACGTTACTTACCTAGGATAGCGTCCTCCATATTCGTCACTTCCAACCATTTTGGGGAGTCGAGACTTGGCAGCTGTGTGGACGATGTACCAGAGTAGCTCCCAAAAAAGGCTCGAGCTGAAAAGAAACAAGTGGCAGCTTGTCACGAAGGGATACGTCTGGTCTTCTCGTCACTATTTGAAGGTTACTCAGCGCTGTCAAAAGAGCAAAAATTTGAATTTTCGCGCGGTTTGTATTTTTTTGTGAGGCAAAGCTCGTAATCCCGGATGTGTGCCCGTGTCACCTCCCGGTACTGTACTACTCCCTGATAAATACCATACTTTACACGTCAGAGCACAGAAAAAGATTGAAACACCCAACAAGGACGTCGGCAACGCTACGATTACTATGATAGTGATGGTACCAATTTCCGTCCCAGGCACCATGTGCTTTTATGAAAAGTCAGTGGTTTGTTTGCATGTTGTCGCACCAGCTAACTGTGTTAGGATCTGGTCACATGACGGTGAACAGTTAGTCAAAAACTCGTAACATTTTTCTCCGTCCATTTATTCATGATAGTTAACATTGGCTCAACATCCGAGTTCATTTTTAAATTAGTCTGTTAGATTATACAATTTTTCAGGGAGGGATGGTGGACACTCTGGTATAGCTGGTGGACACTCTGGTATAGATGGTGGACACTCTGGTATAGCTGGTGGACACTCTGGTATAGGTGGTGGACACTCTGGTATAGGTGGTGGACACTCTGGTATAGCTGGTGGACACTCTGGTATAGCTGGTGGACACTCTGGTATAGCTGGTGGACACTCTGGTATAGCTGGTGGACACTCTGGTATAGCTGGTGGACACTCTGGTATAGCTGGTGGACACTCTGGTATAGCTGGTGGACACTCTGGTATAGGTGGTGGACACTCTGGTATAGGCTGGTGGACACTCTGGTATAGGTGGTGGACACTCTGGTATAGGTGGTGGACACTCTGGTATAGGTGGTGGACACTCTGGTATAGCTGTGGACACTCTGGTATAGGTGGTGGACACTCTGGTATAGCTGGTGGACACTCTGGTATAGGTGGTGGACACTCTGGTATAGGTGGTGGACACTCTGGTATAGGTGGTGGACACTCTGGTATAGGTGGTGGACACTCTGGTATAGCTGGTGGACACTCTGGTATAGGTGGTGGACACTCTGGTATAGGTGGTGGACACTCTGGTATAGCTGGTGGACACTCTGGTATAGGTGGTGGACACTCTGGTATAGCTGGTGGACACTCTGGTATAGGTGGTGGACACTCTGGTATAGCTGGTGGACACTCTGGTATAGATGGTGGACACTCTGGTATAGCTGGTGGACACTCTGGTATAGGTGGTGGACACTCTGGTATAGGTGGTGGACACTCTGGTATAGCTGGTGGACACTCTGGTATAGGTGGTGGACACTCTGGTATAGGTGGTGGACACTCTGGTATAGGTGGTGGACACTCTGGTATAGATGGTGGACACTCTGGTATAGATGGTGGACACTCTGGTATAGCT